GAAGGGTAAAATATCTTCCCAAGGTAATGAAATTTTTATGTGATGAACTGGAATTTGAAGTCAAGGTTACTATATGAAAAGCCTGTTTTTTGTTATGCAGCACTATTTTACATTGCTTCCCTGTGACCAAATGGAAGATTCATTTAGTGCTCTTCTTACAAAGAGAACATTCTTGTGGGAAAGAATACATATGCATATGTTAAAGTTGTATCTATTTCTTTCATTTTAGAGGGATACTAATGATTTAAAAAATATTTTTAAAAGTTTTGAAACAGTCAAAACCAGAATAAGTACAGTAGAGAGAACTTTTTTTCCTTTGCCAGAACTTTTGGCAATAACTTATCTACCCAATGTCCCATCACTCAGGAATACTCTAGTGGGTATTTCCAGGGCATTCTTCTATAACCATCAAGATCAAGAAATTACCATTAACACATTACCATCAAATGCCCCCCCAAGACCCCATTCAGATTTGACTAGTAGTCCCGATAAAGTTCACTGCCCCCTTTTTTTGGAAAGGTGAAAGGATTCAGTTCAGAATCATATACTTTGCATTTAGTTGGCCAAGTCAGACTTTCTTTTTGACTTTCATGGTCTTGATGGATTGGAAACTATAGGCCAGATATCTTGTAGAGTGTTCCTCAATTTGGATTTATCTGATGTTTTCTTGTAATTAAACTCAGGTTACCATCTTCAGCAGGAATATCACAGAATGGTGATATCTGCCAGGCTTCTTAAATGATAAGTTGTTCTTCTGCTTGTAGCTAATTAGTATTTTGTGGAGTACTTCAAAATTATGTAACTATCTCATTCCTCATCAAACTTTCAATTTATTGACTTTATTTACATCAATATACACTCCTGATTTCCTATTTTATTCAGTGAGCTATAATCTGTTGCTCTAAATTATTTAATTGATGCCTAAATTGTCTCAATCTGGCCAGCGGGAGCCTCCTTAGGCTGGCTTCTTTGCCCTTTTAATGCGTCTCCATCATTCTTGGGGCATTTTCTTGCTTTCTGGCACAAGTGTTCTAGGCCAGTTTTTCAACTTTGGCACCATAAGTGCTCATATACATGGTGACAACAAATCCACTGAAAGGATTTTCATTTTAAAAAGGAAAAGAGACTTTGTTCCAGCAAATAGTTTGCTAACCAGAGAGATGCAGCCTTCAGTACAAAACAAAGGTAGTGGTTTTTAGAGCAGTAGTCCACAACTTTTTTGGCACTAGGGATCAGTTTCATGCAAGACAATTTTTTCACGGACCGAGGTGTGAGCGGGGGCGGGATGGTGGTTTTGGGATGATTCAAGCCCGTTACATTTATTGTGCAAACCTCTCTGCTGATGATAATCTATATTTGCAGCCGCTCCCACAGCCTCACCTTCACCTCAGATCATCAGGCATTAGATTCTCTTAAGGAGCATGTAACCTAGATCTGTCGCATGCGCAGTTGACAGTAAGGTTCCTGCTCTTTTGAGAATCTAATGCCACTGATCTGACAGGAGGCGGAGCTTATGCAGGGTTGCAAGTGATGAGGAGTAGCCGTAAATACAGATGAGGCTTCGGTCACTCACTGGCCCTCACCTCCTGCTGTACAACCAGGTTCTTAACAGGCCACAGACCACTACCGGTCCACCACCTGGGGTTTGGGGACTACAGTTCTAGAGAATAAAGAGAGGTGGGTTTTTTTGTTGTTTGTTTGTTTTCATTTGTTTGTTTGTTTGTTTTAAGACAAGATCTTGCTCTGTTGTCCTGGTTGGAGTGCAGTGGTACAAATCATAGCTCACTGCAGCCCCCAATTCCTGGGCTCAAGGGATCCTCCTGCCTCAGCCTTCTTAGTTAGCTAGGACTACATACCTGGCTAATTTTCTTTCTTTTTTCTTTTTCTTTTTCTCTTTTTCTGTCAACATTTTTTGTAGTAGCAGGGTCTCACTATGTCTGGAACTCCTGGCCAGAAGCACAAGTGCTGGTATTACAAGCCTGAGTTACCAGGCTTGTACGTCCCATTTGGTTTTTATAAAGTTACTACTTAAGTTCCCACTCTGGTCTACTTATGAAAATGAGGAGTACAAACTTGCTTTGTTCTAATTGGTTGGCGTTTGTTGAATTCTGATTGGTCAACACAGATCACTATTGGTTGATTGAGGTGGTGTAAACAGAACAGACAGCTATGAAAGTCCCAAAGTTAAGTGAGCATGGAGCTTTTCTCACAATGCATAGTTTGTGTGTGAGCTCTAGTCAGCATATGGCCACTTGGATCTATTCATTTTGAGCTTAGGTCCAATTAGCCACTCAGGATCCATCTTAAAAAGGATTGGCTCTTTCAGGGTTCACAATGGTTGTCTAGTGTACATTTCATTCTGCAAGGAAATGGAACATTTTTGAAAAAATAATTACCAAATATTAACTTTTTTCTAATATATCACCTAGAGTAACTTTCTAATACAAATGTTAAGGTGGCAGGCAGCCTGATATGCCTTTTGGTGTATTTTTCCTTTTTCTTACTTAGGGGAAAAAGAGGTCTTGTCTAGGAAGTGGCAAGAAGAGGTATTAAAATTGTCAAAGGTTTTCCATTGTCAGAACAGTCACTTCTAACAAAAAAACCAAAAAACACTTTTGGTTGAAAAAGCATTTCATTACCCTTGAAACAAGAGAGAGAGGGAATGTGCTCTCCTCACTCATACATCACATATTTAGTGAATATATATATCTACTGGGGTGAGGTACCAAGTGCAGCTCCTTGTGAGGCAGTAGGAATAGAAGGGCAAACAAAAATCAGCGTGGTCCCTGTAAACCCTCATGGAGCTTACAGTCTAGTGGTTAAGAGACAAACAGGCCTAAAAGGGAATGCCCTGAGCAGCAGTTCCTTACTTGTGAAATGTGACAAATGTTCTACTTTACAAATTGTTCTGAGAGTAAAATTAGATCATATAAGGCTAAGTCCTTTGTAAACTGTGGAAATATTATATAAATGAAGTATAGTCTTCCCTCGGTGTCTACAGGGGATTGGTTCCAGGACCCCCAGAGATACCAAAATCCATGGATGCTCAGGTTCCTTATAGAAAATGGTATAGTATTTGGATATAACCTATGCATACCCCCCTGTATATTTTAAATCATCTCTAGATTACTTATAATACCTAATATAATGTAAATATTGTTATGCTATAGTTTTTAATTTGTATTATTTTTATTGTTGAATTATTATTTTTTATCGTTTATTTGTCCAAATATTTTCGGTCGAATCTGTCGATATGGCACCCATGGATGTGGCCACCTCCGATATGGAACCTGTGGATATGGAAGGCCTACTGTATTTCTCTCCTGTCACTCCATCTTCTGGTGTTTGGTCTCTTTAAAATTGCTAAAGTAAGCATGCCCTGAGAACTGGGCCTCCAGGCTCTTCCTCCTCACTCCATCCTGAACATCACTGTCCCATCTGTCTGTGTGTAAACTACTACTTACTTTCATGTTGCTTAAACCTATTCAGAAGCCTTCAGGCTGAAGTCCAAAGTCTTGATACGTAAGATCTCCAGGCTAACCCCAACCTAGCTTTCCAATTTTGCCTCAAAACCCTCAACCCAAACGAAACTGGTCTAGTCACTATGCCTGAAACATATGGTGCGCATTCCCATCTTTGCTTTTGCTCTTATACTTCTTCCTGGAATTCTCTTCCTCTTCTCTATTTTTCAGAATTTCATCCCTGTTCTAGGCCTGGATTAAACCCCTCCCTTCACTTTACTCCAATAGTGCATACAGTCTCTCCAGAGCATTTGGTAATCATCATCTGCTCTCTGTACTGTTAGGTTTTTCCAACTGGCATTACTTGCTCTCAAAGTATAGAGACCACATCTAATGTGTTTCTATTTCCTATAAGTTTTTGCTGGTTGATAAGAAAAGTGACCTATGTTCAATGTAACTCCCAAGAATTTAAAAACAAAGACCTCTGACTTGTCAAAAATACAAAGCAATAACAAATTGAATTTGTACTGGAAGAAAAAAATTTATTACTTTGTACCAATTTTGCATTCTGTGAAAAGTTATAGCACATTTGACTTAATTTTCCCTTGTCTCTGTAAAAGATAAACATTTTACATTCTGAATGCATTGTTGTTAGAGGCTTCAAACTTGAGACAGTTGTTGACCCCTTTTGACCCTTTTTGGTACCAGGGACAGCAGGAAGCTTCAGCTTAGCAGATGCATGCATTGGCTGGCATCAAGTTTGATGCCCCAGGTTATACAAGTGAATGATGGTGTCACTGAAGGCTTGTGGGGCTTAAGACAGATATCTAGCATTTCTCTTCTGTATATGTGTGATAAAGAAGTTGTGTCTCAGAATGTCAGAAATCTACCACTTGATTATCAGTCTTGGTTAATTTTAACTTGAATCATTATATTTGTTATGGCTTTGGAACTTAATGAATACCATATGACTTGTTGAAAGAAAGAGGAGGCTGTTTTGAAAAGTCTTGCTCCAAGTTTAAGCAAGCTCGTGCTAAGTAGGTGTTGAGTTTGGGCTCTTGGAGCCTAATGATTATAGGGTTCTAGGTGGCAGTTAGTGGCCTTAGACTATAAGTTTAGTGCCTTCAAGACAGGTATCCAATTTTCACTCCAATTATTCATTATAATTCATTCCAGCAGGCATTTAATGAGCACTTACTTTATGCAAATTAGACTGAGGAGAATATCTACTAACTACTGAATGTTGAAGCTAATTTGAAATAATAACTTTGGACCTGGACAGCTTTTTTTTTTTTTTTTTTTTTTTAAATTTAATTGAAGATATTGGGCTGGGTGACTTCCAGGCTCCCTTGCTTCTGTTACAATCAGAAATGGTTGGCACAATTTGTAATGCAAATAATATTTGAACCTTTAAAAGAAAAAGCTGAACAACTACGTAGAAAATGAAGTTTAAAATAGGTAATACTCTTTTTTTTTTTTTTAGACAGAGTCTTGCTTTGTTGCCCAGGCTAGAGTGAGTGCCGTGGCGTCAGCCTAGCTCACAGCAACCTCAAACTCCTGGGCTTAAGCAATCCTGTTGCCTCAGCCTCCCGAGTAGCTGGGACTACAGGCACGTGCCACCATGCCTGGCTAATTTTTTCTATATATATTAGTTGGCCAGTTAATTTATTTCTATTTATAGTAGAGACGGGGGTCTCACTCTTGCTCAGGCTGGTTTCGAACTCCTGACCTCGAGGAATCCGCCCGCCTTGGCCTCCCAGAGTGCTAGGATTACAGGCGTGAGCCACCACACCTGGCCAATAGGCAATACTCTTTTCTACACTTGTTTCCTTCCTTTGCTAGAGCAGTGTGTTTACTCTGTGAGAAATGAAGAACTGCATGCTGGTTGAGAGCACATTGAGGTGAGCTGCCATCTACTTAATACTGGATTCATGATGTTTGCAAGTGAGACTTTTCTGTTCAGGGATAACCTGAGAATTTAAGAAAAATTAAGGATGATGGAACCTTAATATTTATATGTACCCATTTATGTAGTATAGAACTGTGCCCCCCATGTTGATGTTTTTAATTTGGGAAAGAAAGGAGTAGATGACCACTTGTAAAGAATTGTGTCCTTGGAATTTTTTATGATATTTTTTAAAGAAACTTTTTGTTACGAGGAATTTTAATATATACAAAATTAGACAAAAAATAACAAAATGAACTTCCAGATATCTATTATCCAAGTATTGCTTCTGTAATAATAAACTCACAATGTTGTTTCATCTATACCCATACCTTTTTCTTCCTCCCATATTATGTTTTTCATTTTAAGTGTTTACCATAACTTATTTACGCAACCACCTGTTGATGGATATTTGAGTAATTTCAAGAATATTTTTGACCATTACAAATAATGTTGTATGCATGTCCTTTCCTTCTTTACATTCTTGTGTGCTTTTCTTGAAGATAAATTCCTAGAAGGGGAATTGGGTCAAAGTATGCATGTTTTAGTTTCTATAATGTCTTCAGTTTTTAGGACATCATCATATTACTTTCCAGTAAACCTATCCTAATTTTCATTTTTGCTCAGAGTTTTCATTTTTTTTTTCTTTTTTCTTTCTTTTTTTTTTTCTTGAGACAGAGTCTCATTTTGTTGCCCAGGCTCGAGTGAGTGCCGTGGAGTCAGCCTAGCTCACAGCAACCTCAAACTCCTGGGCTCAAGCAATCCTACTGACTCAGCCTCCCAAGTAGCTGGAATTACAGGCATGCACCACCATGCCCGGCTAATGTTTTCCTATATATATTAATTGGCTAATTAATTTATTTCTATTTAAGTAGAGACAGGGTCTCCCTCTTGCTCAGGCTGGTTTCGAACTCCTGACCTTGATCGATCTGCCCGCCTCAGCCTCCCAGAGTGCTAGGATTACAGGCATGAGCCACCGCGCCCGGCCCAGAGTTCTCATTTTTAATCCTTCACCTAGAATTATTATTTGCTTTCTCTTATCCTTTAATATACATGTATGTATATATATGTGGGCATAGATATATAAAATTTATGTAGTCATATATATACATATATATATACACACACACACTACTCCTGAAATGTTTGAGAATTTATTGCAGATATTATGATACTGTACTTGTAATACTTTTAGCATGCATCTCTAAGAGTAAGACATTCTCCTACATAGCCACAATACGATGATCACACTTGGAAAATTTAACATTGATTTAATACTGTTTATCTTATGTAGTCCATATTCACATTTTCGATCATTGTAATGTCCTTTGTAGGTCCCCCCCCTCCCAATCCATTATCTAGTTAAGGATCAAGCATTACATTTGGTTGTTATGCCCTCCCAATAAATACTATTTTTTTTTTTTTGGAAACAGAGTCTTTACTCTGTCAGCTTAGCTTAGAGCAACCTCAAACTCCTGGGCTCAAGCAATCCTTCTGCCTCAGCCTCCCGAGTACGTGGGACTATAGGCATGCCACCACCATGCCTGGCTATTTTTTCTATATTTTTAGTTGGCCATTTAATTTCTTTCTGTTTTTAGTAGAGACAGGGTCTTGCTCTTGCTCAGGCTGGTCTCGAACTCCTGACCTTGAGCGATCCTCCCGCCTCGGCCTCCCAGAGGGCTAGGATTACAGGCATGAGCCACCGTGCCTGGCCTCATTGGTAAATACTTCAGTATGCCAAAAGTTAAGGACTTTTTTTTGTTGGTAAAACATAACCAAAATACTAATTTTGATCTACATTTTTAAAAAGAACATTAAAATCTATGCAGAGCTCAATGCATATTGTATCACACATGGCATTTTTAAAAATTGTTTTGCACAAACAACATTGTGAATGTACTTACTGCCACAGAGCTATACACTTAAAAGTGGTTGAAATGGTAAATTTTCTTATGTATATTTTATCACAATAGCAAAAATAAATTTAAAAAATATTGTTTGTAGGCTCCAGACGACCAATTCATTGCACTGGCCTCCTAAGTCAATCTCTCTCTCTCTCTTTTTAAAAAGCCTACAGCACTCGGTATTCCCTGGCAGTCTCCCATCCAAGTACTAACCGGGCCTGACCCTACTTAGCTTCCGAGATCAGATAAGATTGGGCATTTTCAGGGTTGTATGGCTGTAGACAGACCTTTCTTTTTATTTTTAATGGATAGTTTTATTGAAGCATATTTTACATCTTAAGTAAACAGCTTGATACATTTTAGTAAATGTGTACAATTGTGCAGCCATCACTACAATTTAGTTTTAGAACATTTCTGTCACCCCAGCAAAATGTCATTTATCAACAGCCCCCGCTTCTGCCCTGACCCCAGGTAACCACTCATCAGCTTTTTTCTATGCAGTTTTGTCTTTTCTAGAAATTTCACATAAATAAAATCATTCAATATGTAGTCATTTGTGTCTGATTCCTGTTACTGCATGCATCAGTAGTGTGTTCCTTTTTATTGCTGAGAATAATTCCATTGTATAGATGAATATACTATATTTTGTTTATCCATTCACTAATTGATCAAGTTTGGGATTGTTTCCATTTCTTAGCAGTGAACACTTCTGTAAAAATCTTTATATGGATATGTTTTCATTTCTGTTTGGTAGATACCCCAGAGTGGAATTGCTGGGTTGTATGGTAAGTCTGTGTTTAACTTATTAAGAAATTACCAAATCATTTTCAAAGTGGCCATACCATTTTACATTTGTACCAGCACTGTATGAGAGCTCTAGTTTCTCCACATCCTTGTTAAACTTGGTATTGTTAGTCTTTTATTTTAGCCATTTTAGTTGGTGTGTAATGATATTTCATTATGGTTTTAATTTGCATTTGCCTAATGACTAATGAAGCTGGGTATCTTTTCATGTGCTTATTTGCCATTCATATATTTTCTTTGTTGAAGTACCTATTCAAATCTTTTTGCCCATTTAAAAATGCTGGGTTGTTTATTGAGTTTTAAGAGATTTTAGATATAAATCCTCATTAGATGTACATTTTGCAAGTGTTTTTTTTCCCCGAGTCTGTGCTTATCTGTTCTTAGTGATGTTTTTGAAGAGCAGAAGTTTTAAATTTGATATAGTCCCAACTTATTTTTAAAAATTATACTTTTTTTGGTGTGTTATATCTAAAAAAATTCTTTGCCAACCCAAGATCAAAAGGTTTTCTATTTTTTTTCCTGATTATTTAAAAATTATAACTCCTAAATTTAGGTTTATGATCCACTTTGAGTTTCTGTGTATGGTGTGAGGTAGGGTTGTGGTCTCTTTTTGTCCATATGGATATCAAATTGTTCCTGTACCATTTGTTGAAAATACTTTCCTTTTTTTGTTGAATACCTTGGTATCTTTGAGTCTTCTAGTTCATGAATATGGTATGCCTCTTCATTTATTTAGATCTTCTTTGAGTTCACTCAGCTATATTTACTAGTTTCAATATATAGGTCTTATTTTTTTGATTCTATGGTGAATAATTTTTTTGAATTATTTAGTAAATTTATCTTAATTCTCTTTTAATAAATAGTATGTCCTTTTCCATACTTGCTCTTTCTTTCTTTTTTTTCCTTCTAATTTATTTGATAAAACCAAGTAGTTTGTCTTACGGTGTTTTCCATAGTTTCTATGATTTTGCTGATTGGCTCACCTCGTAGTGTTTAACATGTTCCTCCAACTTCTCTATTATATCTAGAAGCTCAGCCAGATTGAAGTTTGATTTTTTTTTTGTTTTGTTTTTTGAAAGCAAGTTCAGTAGTTGATGTTGTATCATCCATTAGGAGGCACATAATGTTTCAGGTTGTGTCTTATGACTGATGTAAGCTATAATTGATGATTAACACCTAGTTGCAGTAATTTATTTAATAGAGGTTCTATCATTCCTTTATCATTTATTACCTGGGATACTTTTATAAAAAGAAACTTCCCCCTATCTTCTTTCTATTTTTGAGAGCAGACGAGGTCAGGCACATTCAGGGTAGCATGGGCATACCTTCTTTCTATTTTCTTTTTTTTTTGAGACAGAGTCTTACTCTATTGCCCAGGCTAGAGTGCCATGCTATCATCCTAGCTCACAGCAACCTCAAACTCCTGGGCTCAATTAATCCTCCTGCCTCAGCCTCCCAAGTAGCTGGGACTACAGGCATGCGCCACCATGTCTGGCTAATTTTTCCTATATATTTTTAGTTGTCCAGCTAATTTCTTTCTATTTTTAGTAGAGACGGGGTCTCACTCTTGCTCAGGCTGGTCTCAAACTCCTGAGCTCAAATGATCTGCCCCTCTCAGCTTCCCAGAGTGCTAGGATTACAGGTGTGAGCCACCCTGCCCGGCCCCTTCTATTTTCTGTACCCAGTGTGTATGATCTCTTTAGTTACAAATGCAATGACTTTGTTAACAAGTAGGTATTTTTTCTAATGCACCATTTCTCTGTTGAATTGGCAGACACACAATTTCAATTATTAGCAGGCTGAGGGTTTGTTGTTTTTCCTGTGCTTTTGAAGAAACCCTTCTGTTGGGAACTGTATAAGATATTCTACTTGGCTCTTGAAGACCTGCTTTGTAGGCAAAGACTAGACTGTATGTATCCTGTGTTATTGCTTTATAAGAGCAAATTACAATCTTGACCTTACTTATTCCCGTCATAGTATTTTGTAATGAGTATATTATAATTGCTTGCTTTTTTTTTAACAGCTTTGCCTTATGATGCTGCTGTCTCTTATGCTGCTTCATTGTTATAAAAGTGTTTTCTGTTATTTCCTTTATCTTAAGTGTAAATAAGAAAAGCAGTAAAGTTAACATAAATTGTATTGAGCTTTTCCTGTTATTATTTTTCTTTTGTATCTTGTTAACTCTGTTTTCAGAATTCTCAGATGATTTTTTCTTCTTTTGTCAGTGCATCTGTTTTAAATACTAATCGAATTTCACAGTAACTTTGTAGTGTTTTGTAAGGAGATGTACCTCCCAGTAGAAGCTATCAGGAGATGCTTGGAACAGTCAGGGCTAAGTGAATGAATGGAGGTAGAGGAAGAGAAGTTTGTACACTTAATTGATCAGTCTAGAATTAGCCCTAGAAAGTGTAGAAATTTAGTGCTAGCACATGGAAAGCATGTGTTTTATAAAGTAAATGCTGTAAATACAGCAATCATTTAAATGGTATAGCAGGCTGGGCGCTGTGGCTCAGCCTGTAATCCTGGCACCCTGGGAGGCCGAGGCGGGCGGATTGCTTGAGGTCATGAGTTTGAAACCAGCCTGAGCAAGAGTGAGACCCCGTCTCTACTTAAATAGAAAGAAATTAATTGGCCAACTAATATATATAGAAAAAATTATCCGGGCATGGTGGCGTACGGCTGTAGTCCCAGCCAGTCAGGAGGCTGAGGCAGCAGGATAGCTTGAGCCTAGAAGTTTGAGGTTGCTGTAAGCTAGGCTGACGTTATGGCACTCACTCTAGCCTCAGCAATAAAGCGAGACTGTGTCTCAAAATAAATAAATAAAGAAACAGACAAACAAACAAACAAATAAACGGTATAGCAGAACAGCTAGTCTGTGCCAGATGTATAACAGGTCAAATTTTGAAGTAATTTGTTTTATATTGAACTTTTATGTGCAATAAAATATATAAGATATAATAGCTACAAACAAAAAATACTGCCAAGGAAATGTTACTAAACATGTTCATTTAACATATGGACTGCACAGTATAAAAATTACATGTTGTTATAGGTTTTTAGTTGGAGTTTATAAAAGTTATGGCTTTTGTTTAGGAAAAAAATGTTTTCCTAGCCTCTTTTGCCCCCTTTACGTGATATTTTTTGAAATTCTTTGTTTTTTTTTTTTTAACTGGTAAATCATTATATTTTAAGAATTGGGACACTTTTCCATAATTAATTTAGTTTTCCCAGCATCTTTTTAAATTAAAAGATGATTATGAGGAATATTGAGAGTTGAGACTCGAATTCTATCCAAATAGCTGACCAAACTACTCCCAATCAGTTTCACTCAGCAGATACAAATTGCAAGCTTACCACTCTCAGGCATGGTGTAAAATCATAGAGAAAGACAAAGGCAGAGCACAGGCCCTGAGGAGCAGATGGGCCCAAATTACTATAGGAGAAAGGCTTTTCTAGAGGGTCCCACAAAATGCTGTGGTAGTTTTGAAGAGCACTGAATTCTCATGGGAATGTGCATTTATTTAAAAATATCACATTGATGGAGTACGTCGACCCACCTATGATTCCCTTAGTTTTCATTCCGAAAGATGCTCTGCTTTGAAATGATTGGTTAGTTTAAGGAACCATATTGGGGAAGGAATAGTTTTTTGTTCCTTCTGAGTGATTATCAGTATCTTTTTTTTTTTTTTTTGAGACAGAGTCTCACTTTGTTGCCCAGGCTAGAGTGAGTACCGTGGCATCAGCCTAGCTCACAGCAACCTCAAACTCCTGGGCTCAAGCAGTCCTTCTGCCTCAGCCTCCCAAGTAGCTGGGACTACAAGGCATGCACCACCATGCCTGGCTCATTTTTTCTGTTTATATTAGTTGGCCATTTAATTTCTATTTGTAGTAGAGACGGGGTCTCGCTCTTGCTCAGGTTGGTTTCGAATTCCTGATCTCGAGCAATCTGCCCGCCTCGGCCTCCCAGAGTGCTAGGATTACAGGCGTGAGCCACTGCACCCGGCTGATTATCAATATCTTAATATCAAAGTTTAATTAACTGAGCAAATTTACCCTTGAAATATTTTGCCTGGTCACAGAAACAGACCATATAAAGCAGAAATCAAAATCACTTTAAGATGATTTTATTATTTTATATTCTCTTTTGGACTACAGATAAATTGGAGTATTTCAGAAACTGGGGCGAGGGGTTGGGCATCTCAGGACTCGTTTTAGGAAGAA